CAGTATCATATGTGAGTGAAAGAAACAGGGACTGTGGATGCAGATAGAGACGGTCGACTTGAGAGGAATTGCACATTTGTCAAGCAAATATAACCTTTTAGTTGTTTTTGTTAAGTACGAAGGAGGTTAAATCACCTACTTCAAGTTACCTTGCACATCTGACATGATGATATCTGAATATGTATGGCCTGTCTAGAAATCATCCTGGTGTCATATCTATATGACTCCCTTCTCTTAATTGTTCTTTATTTCCAGACTGCCCATTCTCCAGGGTGGTACATTCACATTACTGGCACCCTCCATGGCAATGCTGTCCATGCCAGAGTGGACATGTCCTGCTTGGACCCAAAATGCCAGCCTAGTCAACACCTCTTCCCCAGAATTTGTAGAAGTGTGGCAGAGTCGAATGAGAGCAGTAAGTAAACCATCTGATCTAATCACAACTTAAAGGACCAGTGTGTAGGATTTAGTGGCATCTACTGGTGAAGTAACTGATCACACTTTGTGAGCAGGAGAAACTACGGGCCGCGAAAGGCCCTGTCTAAACCGCTCTTGTCAACTTTGTTTGCTTAGTTAGCAACTAGCTGGTGAACATAGTGGAGCTTACAGCAGCTAAAGAGCTATATATATATATATCAGGAATTGGTGAAGACCTAAGAGCTCAGTGAATATAACATTTTAAAGGTGTTAAAGAGTTCAACTTGTTGTCGAGTTCTGCTCCCGAGTGGAATAAACTGAATATTACTACTTTAAGGCACGTGAAAGTATTGTGTTATGAAAAGACACATTACAATACATTAGTACTGTCCCATAGAAAATGATCAGTGTATCAAATTATGTGCGAGAGCTGGGACAAATGCTCATTGTTTCAACAGGTCCCTCAGCTGCACAAAAGCAGCCATTGTTCGATTGCTGTGTAATGGTAATATTATGTGTACATGTTTCATGCTAGCTTGAACCTTTGGTCCTGTGTGATAGAACATTGGCAATGCAGAGCCACGGTTGATTCTCTTGTGTGGAGGTTAAAATACAGCATTTGTTATGGATAGTAAGTATTGTGGTAATTGTTGACAAAACAGTCTGAACACGAAATATATTTTTCTCTATCAGATGTGGGTGTAGCTCACAGGTAGTCAAAACATCGGCAACAACCAGAGTGAAATTGCTCATTAACTCAATATAACATATTTCATTTTGAGACATCAGCGTAACATCACTACCTCTCGGCCCTGCTCCAGTTGCAACAGTGGCAACTGTAAGGATTTATAGGATATAACAGTATCACTGATATGTACTGCTGCTGAAACCAATGTATAATTTCCCTGCATATATAGTAATAAAACTGTTACAGTATTCCTAAATTGATGTTTATTTCTGGTTAATACCTTTGAAATAAGAGTGATGCTACATGTAATCTTTCTTATGTCTGTTTTCAGCTGCAGGGATCTATTATGGTGGGCTCACTCTTCCAGGTGTTTGTCGGTTTCTCTGGCCTCATCGGCCTCTTCATGCGCTTCATTGGACCTCTCACCATCGCTCCTACCATCTCTCTCATTGGACTGTCCCTGTTTGACTCAGCTGGTGCCAATGCTGGCTACCACTGGGGCATATCTGCCATGTGAGTAAAATTCCCAAGCAAAATTTTTATGGTTTGGGATCATTCTGTTACAAAAGTTTAAAAAAAAAAATGCAAATGCAGGAATTAGTAGTCTATTTCAAACCTACCATTATATTGTATTTTACATTGTAAGATAACATATTTTTGTTTAAATTTCTTATCATGTTGCATGTAATGCAGTCACTTTTAGATAGCAATGAAACCAACTCTACGGATATCTTTGTAAAAAGGAGTTTGTGCCAGTTTCAAACACACTTGTCTTATAGGTCATGCTAAATCAGCTTGATCCCCTGCCTAGAGTACAGCCAAGTTTTAAAAAATAATAACAGACTTGAAATCTGTGTAAAAGTCCTAATCTCTCTGCAGGGTAGGAAAGCCTATTAGAAGTTCCTTGCCAAAGAACCTGCTTAGTTGCTCTGCTTCGTTTTATGTTGGTTAGAGTGAGACTTAGCTACGATGTAATACAGTCTTTTTTTTAAAATATTGTGAATGAATGTCTTTGTCCCTGTCTCATATAGGACCACAGCACTAATCACCCTGTTCTCACAGTACCTCCGTCATATACCTGTGCCCTTTCCTATGTACAACAAGGATAAAAAACTGCACATCTCCCGTGTCTACGTCTTTCAGATTCTCCCTGTATGTACCAAATATTGTCTTGTTTGCCAGTAATTGCCTTTTGGATCAAGACTTATGAAATTAATTCTCCATTTTATCTTTAGACCACTTTACAAGACCAAAAAGGTGATTCTTTGTCTATGTATCCTCAGGTTCTGCTTGGAATCACTTTGTCTTGGCTAGTCTGCTACATTTTGACGACCAACAATGTACTTCCTGCTGAACCAGAAAAGTATGGTTACATGGCCCGCACTGATCTAAAGGGAGATGTTATAAGCAAAGCTCCCTGGATCACTTTTCCATACCCAGGTAACAGGCTGCTAACTATCATCTGAACTGACTTTTTAATAATAAAAAAGTTAATAGAAAACTATAATGCAGGCTTCTGTGTCATTCTCTGTTCCGATATGTTTCAATCCAAATTTAGGTCAGTGGGGGATGCCAACTGTGAGCCTGGCAGGTGTGGTTGGCATCTTGGCTGGTGTGATTTCCTCCATGATAGAGTCTGTAGGGGACTACCACGCTTGTGCCAGGCTATCTGGGGCTCCACCTCCCCCTAAACATGCCATAAACAGGGGTATTGGCATTGAGGGACTGGGCTGCTTGCTGGCTGGAGCCTGGGGTACAGGAAATGGTACCACTTCATACAGCGAGAATGTCGGAGCTCTCGGTATTACAAAGGTAAGACGAGCCTGTATGTATAGGCTGAGAAGAAGATTATCTGGTTATTTACTCAGACCTACACATTTGTAGATAAGCATAAACTTTTTTGGGGTATAGTTTCAAGAGAAGCCTTTTCTTTTTCTCTCTTTTCTTTTTGCAGGTTGGCAGTCGCATGGTAATAGTAGCCAGTGGAGTCTTGATGGTTGTCATGGGTGTGTTTGGTAAAGTGGGCGCTATATTTACCACTATCCCATCACCCGTGATAGGAGGGATGTTCATGGTTATGTTTGGCGTTATCTCTGCAGCAGGAGTTTCTAATCTGCAGGTAAACACTCTAAAACCGTAACTGTTTTTTGCTTGCATTTATTTATTTTTTACATTGACCTAAATATTGCATTTAACATTTCCTTTTTTTCTGTTTTCTCCACATTTTCAGTATGCAGATATGAATTCGTCTCGAAACCTCTTCGTTTTTGGCTTCTCGATGTTCTCTGGTCTGGTCATCCCTAACTGGATCTTAAAGAATCCTGCAGCTATTGCTACAGGTGCATGGATAAAATGTCACTGTTTTTCATAAAAAGCCTCATACTTTTACTTGATTGTTAACAGAGGTTTAACTAATTTCATCGTGTTGTGTTCAGGTGTGGTTGAACTTGACCAGGTGCTACAGGTCCTTCTGACAACCAGTATGTTTGTTGGAGGTTTCTTTGGCTTCATACTGGACAACACAATTCCAGGTATTTTTGAATTATATTATTAGTTATTTGATAGTAATACTATGTTTAAATTGTTGATTTAAATCCTTATGTTTCTACAGTACCCCAGATAGGATTAACCAAACTCTGGATTGGGTCTAGATGGGGTCTGGGGTTGCATTTTTCGCATGTTTTGTGGCCATCGTAGTTTATCCTACATGCTTGGAAGAGGAGGGTCAAGCGTGTTGGAATGTACAACTACATCATTAGATGCCATTGAATCCTAAACACTGGTCCTTTAACTCGTCATCCTATTAACAGCAAAATCAGATTGTAAAAGTATGTGATACGTAATCTCCTAGCGGGAAGAAGAGTCAATATATAGGATAAAATACTGAAGGGTTAAACCTAATTTATTCCAAAGCTGATTCTTTTCTTCCATCAATTGACTGTAAGTGACTTGCTATTGAGTATCAGACACAGTGTAAGGTATGTAGTCCATAGATATGCATGTGCAAATAGGCATGTACTGAAGTCGCCATGACTAGAAAATAGAAAAAAAAGTGTTGCCAAATGTAAAAAAATAATGTTGCTTTGCTATTTTATATACTTGAAAGCAACTGTTTTTTTTGCACCGATAGCAAGTTATACTGTAGCAACAGAAAACGTCATAAAGGCAGAGTCAGTGATCTCATGACTTCAGTAGGCTGTATGGTTAAAGACATTTCTAATGTGTCCAACAGGATCAAAGCATGAACGAGGCATCCTGGCCTGGAACAAGGCTCACGAGGATGACTCCAGCAACACACTGGAGAGTGGAGAAGTGTACAACCTTCCCTTTGGTATCAGCTCTTACTTGTCATCTTCCTCCTGGCTCCGGTACATTCCTTTCTGCCCTCCTGGTCCTAGAGTGCCCAGCTCCCTGAGAGGATGCGCAGCAGATAGTAATGCCCTGGAGCCTAAGCAGCCACTGGGACATCCAGAGCCTTCACAGATCATTATTGGAGTCGCTCTGTGAGCTGTTTGCTCACATCAGCATGCCATTTTGGGGATTTTCCAGCAACTATACCATCTGAGGCAGCTCATTTTCGGACCTCTTGTCCTTTTGAAGACACTGTACTGTAACAACATGGTGCAAAGTAATTCACATAAACTGACATTGGCAAATTATGTCTTGCATAGGATTAATATATGGATATCCTTTAGGGAGGTAGTTGGGTATCTTTCTACAGATCTTTTAGTAGATATTTGTATGATATAAAACTGGTGTAGAGAGAGATATTATCAGATAATCTATCTCTCAACTTCGAGACTTGTTTTCTGTACAGTTTCACAGACATTTTCACAGACATTTTCACAGAGCATACACTGTTGAATATAAACAATGATTTCTTTGGTTTAAAGCATATTGTTTTATTTGTTTTCTTTGATTTATTGTGATCACAACTAGATGATAGTGAACAAACACTGAAAAGATGCAAATGTAAAAAGATCCATGTTAATTGCCACATTCCACATATAATACATACAGTACCTCATGTTTGAATTAACTTTGCTATGACAGTCAATATTTGAATAGTCATGTCATTATCAGGTCATGCACTTTACCTATTTGTGTCAGGACTTTTCTCTCAGGCTTCTCATATCTATATATGCCAGCGTACAAAACTTCCTCAATGCACAAATCAGGACAAGCCACTGAACTCAAAGGGGTTTTTCAAAAAAGGTCCAACATGGGGCCATTTGTGTATCAACACCAATATCTGTTTAAGTTGTCCCTGTCAGATCCTGCTTGATGGCTTTGTACAAACTAACAAAAGACTCTTCCCACACAGACCGTTGGTGTTCAGTAGTTGAATTGACCATCTGCTGTGTACTGTATACCAAGGTCAACAGGATGCGCTCAAAATCGTCCTGATGAAGGGGACCAATATGATCTGAAAGGTCAGAGATGAGCCTATATATGTCTGTTAGCTTCCTGGGAATGATCTCCTCACAGATGACTTCCAGGTTTTTTGTCTTGCGCAGGGAAGCCAGCTCAGCATCTTGGACTGAAATCTCTCCACTGCCCTCAAAGTGTATGCCAGCCAGCAGGATCTAGTAGATGTAAATAGGAAGACACTATCAGAATTGAGGTGTATTTGCTGGTTTTACACTTCGAACACTTATTGATGACCATATTTGTCTCACCTCAAATAACAGATGAACATCATCAAAGGATTTGTGGAAGGTGGGGTTCACCACATTTGCCACCCCTCGTTTTATTCTTCTTGCAGCTGGGAATAGGGCTTGAGGGTAAAGCGAGACAGACAGTAAGAATGAGGTGTGAAGGGTAGAAGAGCAAGGACAGTTTCCTCAGCAAATCATTCCTTTCAGATTTATCAGGTTTTTATCTTGTGATTTACTGCCGCGGACCCAAAAGGTTTCAATAATAATAACAATCTCTGAACTGTTAGGTCCCATGAAATACAGGCTTTACTGGGGTGCTGATATTCTGGCACATGTGAGAGCCAGGCTCACACCTCAAAATACTGCAGTTAATCTATGATATGCCCTGCGATCTCTGACCTTACAGATGACTTCTATCTGCAGGCGATGAGACATGACCTCCAACTTCAAAGGCAGCAGAAGAATCAAAGGCGGAGTAACATACAGCTTATACAACGCACTCCAGATGACTTTGACATGTAGTGTACTGGCTTAGCATTTGAACCTCATTTTCACAGCATTCCTTAGACCCATGATTTAGAAAAGTCAGAGGTGAAAACCTGAACCCTTTCTTAAGGAAACAGTCCTTGAATACAATGCAGTCACATTGTGAAAAGCAGCTACGATCATTTTGTGTTGATTCTGTATAGAAATAGCCAGTCTTCTGATAGTCTTGTTTGTTTATAGGTCATATAGAGGCATCAGTATTAAACTGAGATTGTTTCATAACTAGTTAAAACTCTAATAATTATAAGACTAATAATTGTAGGCTACAGAAAGTAGACTCTTTCTTTGCCTCTACTCATATGTCAACAATATGTATCAAAAATTCATGGCAAAGAAGATTAATAACAATAATACAGCCGTGGTTTGTGAGGTTGTACAATGGTGTTTTGAGCTAAATGCTTACATGTTGATGTTTAACAACTACAATTTCACTGGATACGTGAAAGCTTTGACCTGCTGGTGGTGCTAGAGGAAAAGTGAGGGGATCACCAAAGTCAGAGGGATCGGTCCTCTGGGGAGCCCGAATGTCTGTATAAATTGTAAGGACAATGCATTAAAAAGTTGTTAAGATATTCCAGTCTGGACGTTTTCGCCATACAGAAAAAGGGGACAGAACGAAGGGAATTTAGACCACTGTTTTCATTTACTATCCAGTATCTCTGACATTCTTTGCTGGCAGGTTTCATTAATGCATGTAAAATCTGGAACTCAGGCAGTTTACATTTCATATGGTATGAAGGATAAACTGCAGGTAATGATGTTGGGTAGATGAAAAGGAGAACAGATGGAAGAGAAAAGATGAAGAAAAGAGGAAATCATGCAGACATAAATGCAGACAGACCGTCATGCAGAGTTGGAGACTGTGGTAGAGTGACTGATATCTTTAGTGACTGAACAGGACTGTGTTGTTTGATGTTTTCAGCAAATCAATATCGAAACCATTAAACTTGAACAGTTTTGTCTGGAGTCTAGTCTGGATTAAAGATGTTGTGAACAGCTCATACAGTGTAAAGCGAGATAAAAGTTTGAAAACACAGTTAAGAAATCCATTAAATGTCTGAGCCAGAGTCAAACACCCAGCTGCCAATTCTTTCACTCCTTGTCATCCACTCATTGATGTCAGGCTCAACAAACCCAACAAGATGATGGTATTTTAATGGATTTCTGCAGGATCAAATAATCCACACAACTTAGTCATAATGTTTAGATAATGACCTCCATTAATCTAAGCTCAATGAGTTATATAATAATATATACTAATATTTTTTTATTTTTTTATCAGGGTTCTTCTAGGTGAGTCCTCCAAATACAAACATACAGATGACATTGGCTACTTATTTCACCAATGTAACCATTTCATTTCTTTGCTTACCATGCAAAGAACCCAATTGTCCAATGTGTCCATTAAAATGCATGGCAGTGTGTTTACATTTGGAAGCAACAAACCTGCCCAAAAATCATGCAGATTAGTAAACTGCACATTATCTCTCATATGTTTACCAGCTGCACTCGATGACAGAGGTCAAATATGTGCTTCTGGTGACTCCAGATTTTTATGATGAAGTGCTTTTTACTGCTGTTTGGATTTCAGTCTTAAAGTCTTTGACTCATACTTCCTGTCAATACAGAAGTGTCCATAGGCAAGACTAAAAAATCCAGCCATCAGATTTGTTGCTCTGCAGTCGTCAGTACATTTCTGTTCCTGTCTGTAATGTTTTATCAGTGAGAGAACCGAGAATGCATAATCAAATCACAAAAGACCCCACCTCATTAGACAAAAGGAATTCCCTGACCAGAGCTGGTCTGAATATCTCAGCAGTATGCTTTTCATTCACTTGAGTAATATGAGTTTCCTCTCTCAGATCATCTTTGGACACTCTCATTGTTTTCCTATTAGAAACAGGTGCAGATGACATCTGTAGCTAGATGAGCATAAAAGTGTGCATAATATAAAAATGAGCTGTAACTTGAAAGGCACAGTATTTAACCTACAAATGTGTATAAAATGCTACTTATTTTGTATTTTATTTTTCATTCTGTACTATATAATATTCTGATTCCGAGTCTATTAAATCTAAAGGTGCTCTTGTGTTGTTTTAAAAAAGAAGATGACAGAGCAGTTTTTCATGCATGGAGGAGCATTGCAGTAAAATGTGTGCAATGAATATGTTCTCATGTCCAATACACATCATGAGCACATTCCTGTTATAACACTATGCTTGCATAACATTTTGTTAATTTGTTTTCAGTAAAAACTTCAGAGTTTGGAAAGAAAATAAAAAGATGTGGGTCGTTGTTTTTCTGGTTTAAAAAAACAGTACAGCTAAAACAACGAACAAGGAACATTCAGTCTACAGCCAAGAATAATTTATTCACTGAAACAATTTTTGAACACAGAATAAATAAATTGACTAAATTATAAGCTGTCATAAATTCTATTATTGTCTGTGACTCACATGCACATGCACAAAACCAAAAACAGTTATCCCACTACTGGAATGAATCCATTATCAAATTCTTACATATCTTCTGATCAAATAATATTAACACTGCTGCTAAATAGTCTTTTTGCTTTGTGAAGAAACATGTATATACAAAAAAAGCTATTTATGAAAATGCACTCCTCTTAACTGTTTGCCATTCTGCATAAAGTCTAAAGCTTCAGTTCAAGTCTTACCTTTAGTCCCATGATGTGCGACACCTGGTTTGATGCAGCAGTAGATAAGACCAACAATGACCAATCTGCAGGGCAGCATAGCGGGCTGATCACTCTTACAATGTCACCTGTAACTCCCACTACTGTATACTTCTCTGCCTGTTAGCACCCAGGGTTCCCTTCTGTTGCATTTCCTCCCTTCTCTTTACTATGCATCTGCAGCCCCGCATAACATCGGACTGTGGACCTTCTTCATCACTTGTGTTCTCTTACTCCATCTGTCCTTTCTCCCCCTCCCATCTGATCTCTCTCTCTCTTTCTCTGCGTCTCGAAAAAGCCATCTCTCTTTTAATGCTTTCAGCTGGTTGCCATCAAGTTCACAGACGCACTCTTTTTTAAATCCTCCTGCTCTCGCTACTTACAGGTATGTTAATGACACTTCTCGTCCTGATCCTAGCAGCAGCATTTTTATGTGTTTCTATTAATTGTTTATCACTTGAGTACTTCATACAGGACTAACTTCACGTGCTCTTATCCTTAAAAAAACACTTAAACCCCACTGCTGTTTTTAATGCAACTCAAAATCCAGTCATACTCCTTTCAAATTTGAATGGTTATATAGTTCAGCTGCAACCAGCAAACCATGGAATCATGTGCAGTACACATAGTCATTATCTGTCACTGCCATTTACAGTCTGTTTAGCCTTGGATGCAGCATGTCATGTGAAACACTTTCTCTCTGTTGAACACATATGTTGTTGCTTTCTTTTAAACCATCGTATTCATCTTGGCTTCTGTTTGTGGGTTTGCAGAATTGGTTGAGAGGCTATGTTTATTGTCTTCCTCGAGCTGTGTTTGTGTACCTGAAGTCTGTTTTTACCAACAGCGTGGCCCCTCAGCGGGTAGGAGCCTATGTGACGGTGCCAGGATGACCACCGGCAACCAGCTCGGTTTGTGGTCCACAGGAGGACAAATGTGGAAAGTTCACACTCCATGAACATGAAACTCAGCTAAGTGATTATTTCTAATTATACAATGCACGCACCCCAGAGTTCTGGACAGAAAACATATGCAGAAACCACAAAGAAAGACTTTGTTCACTGCTTGGCACAGTACTCCTTCTCCACACGCCTTAGGAACAGTTACCAGAAGTGCAACCATATAAAATAACTTTTATTTGTTTGAACACTATTTTTAATGTTCATTTATTTAATTTGGGCATACACAGTGATGCCAACATGTGAGCACAGTACATAGTTACATTTTCTAGAGGTCATTTCCATACATCTGGCCCTCAGGAGCTCAGATGTGGATGTGGAAGTCGGAATCGGACAAGGCTGCGTCTCAGACTGAGATGTGGCTGTCGTGCTGTTGCAGAGGAATGCAGACCCAGACTGTGCTGAAGCTGGCAGGAGAACTGTGGCCTCTGTGAACCCTCCAAGAACTACAGCTCAACAACTTGAACAAACATATTATTCTTTCAATGGGCAAATTAAATAAAAATGTTATTCTAGGCTATGCCCCAAATAATTTCCTTTCTTAAATTGGTGTACTTACTGAGTGACTCAGAGGTGGATGGAGCCCTGTGTTAGGATTGGCTTTGTTTTTCTGATTATATTAAATAAGTGGATGATCACCTGGTCAGTGATAATAAGGATGAGGCTTGATGTGTATATTGTCACACTTGAACAAAGCCAGCTGTCGATACTGAAGATAATGTAGACTGAAGACAGGACATGCCTGTGGACTGACAGCAGTTGATTACACACAAGAAAAGAAAAGAAAAGAAAAGAAAAGAAAAGAAAAGGGTCCACATAGTTCTGCCTGTCAAATCCTGCTGAATGTTTACACAATCTCAACTGTGTTTAATATGCAGGGTGGACAGTGGTTGGCTGAATGCAACTATTTACTCAAGTTGTGTCCTAAAATGTTGAGCTATTTGCATTTTGGGAACTTCCACTTTGCCACATTCTACATTTAGTACACATTACAGAGGAAATACTTTTTTTACAGCTATAGTTGCTAGTTACTTTACAGATTAATATTGAACATACAATGATACATTGCTTAAAATTACTGAACGACCCAATAATATAAATAAAAATTGGCTCCATGCAGCTGCAACATTAAAATGTTGCTTACTTTAAGCATAGAAAAGGCCACCGCCATCCTTGGGGACTAAAGCTCTGGTATAGAATAAGATCTTTCCAGGACGAGACACACATACTTCTTCCCCGTGTAATCAGTGCTTGCAGATACCACATGTCTTTAACCTCCCTACCTACAGCACCCATCCTAATAAGAACAAGTAAGTGATTTTGGACACGGCACAAACCTTTTTTCAAGGCACTTCAACATACAGGTGTAACTAATAATGTTAATTATGGCTGCATTCCATTTGGTGTGCCAGTGTCAAGGCCATAGTATTGCGTATGCTGGCTCACTTACATGGCCGAGTACACTTAAATGGAACAGAGACATCATTAATGTTATTAGTAACACCTGTGCTTTTCCTGCTATGACAAGTCAAAATGTCTGCTGGGTGAGAGAGAGGATAAGAATTAAAACATTTGACAAAAATGCATAACACATTAGGATTTTTGGATAATCAGTATCATCCAAGCATTTAAACACTATGATTACATATCACAGTAACAACTTTACATTACATAAGGGCTGTGATAAGAGTTGCAATAAGCTCTTCTGTGGCTCTGGAGGAGCTTTTGCAAGCCTGTGTTGAATGAAAAACAATTTCCTGCTGCATTGTGGGAATCGTATGATCCAGGGTTTTTGGGACATTACCCATGCTAGTGACTAAAAGTCCAGGCCTCTGCTGCTTCGATTTTGAGCATTCTTTTTAAGAGAATTGAGATTCAAGACATATATTATGCTTTTTAAAATAAAATTTGAATTAATCAGAGTCTACCTGAAAGGATAGCCACAGTACATGAACACAGTCTTAATGTAAATATACATTTGTCAGACTTTGTGTGACACAAAAGATTTACAAATTACATGTTCTCAATGTCAACGTTTTATTTAAAACAAATAATGCAGCAGCATGGAGAATGAGAACATAGACATTGGCTATTTCAATTAAGCTCCAAAGATCTGTAATAGTTACACTTTTCCAATAGATGGCAGTATTTATCTGCTTAGAGTCAAATCCAAGTTTTTAGTTGAGTTTCTTTTACTTTATAAACACTAATATGATACAATGGGACATGTGGTACTGCTGTGAACATGCATAATTATTTTGCCACTATTTGCTTTTGGGCAAAAATTCCACTAAACTCAGGAAAGCGGTGAACTTTGAATTCCTCTCTAAACACACAATGTTGGAAAACTATTCTAACTTTCATTTCAGCACATCAGCATTTCCTCTTCAGAGTCTGAAGATACTGTATACAGCATCAACAAGCCCTGGGCAGTTGCCACTTCACAGCCTGGTACTGCAGACATCCCAGCTTTTTCACAGACCATCTGTCAGCACTATGCAGTTCTATTGTATGTTGCTGTCTTTGGGCCAAACCCAGTTTATGATCCGTTCAGCCACCCTCCTGTTTTTAAAATGATACTAACTTCTCATAATTTCTGACTTCTGGGACACGCCGCCCGACCAAATCTTTTTGCTGGCGCAGTAATGCGTCACTGAGTCAGACTGTCAAACCCATTGTCCATCTGTTCCTCATAGACACAGAGCATAAGAGCATAGCCATGACTGTAATTAGCTACATGGAGAAGTTCAAAATCCCCACAGACTGCAGTCGGAACGTGACTTTCTGGGACAGTCTGCATCCAAATCGCAACCAAAAATAGCATTGTGGGAACGGAACAGACTTTGGATTCTGGACTGAACACAGTTACCGTACTTTGACAAATGACCTGTGTTTTCACATTTTGGGTTTAAGTTGCAGCAAATATCCAGCCCTATCAGGACATCAAAACAGCAACTGCATTGTTTCAGAATGATGAGATAAATCTAACTGCTCTGATGGTATTCTTGCTCTCTTGGGTTTTAAGGAGGCACAAAGGCAGACTGAGCAAGAAACAAAAAATAGGTTAAACAGCTCTTTGTGAGGAAATAAATTACAGATGGTGGAAATCTGTAGTGTATTTATATACAATGAATACTCTTTCACTAAGAGTTGATTTTCTTTTAATGCCATGCACATCTAGGACTAACAATAGGCCTGTATGAAAATCATCCGATGCACGGAAAATTTAATTTGTGTATAAAGCTTTCACTTTGATTAATTACACCACAGCATAACCCTAACATATTAAATGAAATGTATTTTTCCATTCTAGAGTTCTTAATTTTTAATTAAAAATTTTGAAAATTAAGATTAAAATTAGGCTGTATCTAAAATTTGTATTTACATTTTAATAAGCTTGTTTAAATGAACATTTTTTAATTTCTTTACTAATATATTTTTTAATTAATTAATTATCATTGCAGTTCTGGAAGCACATTACTGTAATATGTAAACTAGAAAATAAAGTGCATTTTGCACTTAGTTTTATTATAACAACAGAAGGATTATACTGATAAGGATAATGCCAAAACTTGTCAGTTGAGCTTTTGTTTTATGTTGGAAATACTTGTGCATTTTAAAACATAAAAATCTTGTTGTTGATTTATTTTGTTTATTAATAATTTTGTGCACATGCACATACACGGTTCAATTTATTTCCTCTGTTTACATTGTCAGCCCTGAACTTCCATACTTCAAAGAACTTATAAAAACTGACTACAAGCAAGTCCTTGAATACATATTGTTAATGTTAGTGTTTCTCATTTCATTCAAAGCAATTATTCAAAGATTTCAATCTTGAATGCTTGGCCTGCAGACAGAGACACAGCCTGCCTCACATTCTGGACCCATCCTGTCTGAATCCCCCTCTTATCTCTGAGGACGACAGATGAGCTGTCTGCAGTGGCAAGGCCTTGAACGTGCCCCTCATCACTCACATTCAGTTCTTGGAGTCTTTGTTTGAGTTTTTGTTTGCACTTTTATTCGAATATACTGTGCGTGTCTGCAAATCCTCAGCCAGATCCACAATAGGCATTTCTGTAAATCCAAGGTCTTTTGCTCCTTTCCTCGCATATCCCTCTTCCTCCACATCCTCTTTAGCTCTTTGAGCTTTTGCCGCCTCCTCCCATTGTCCTCGACCTTGACATAGGGTATCTACCGTCCACTGTCTTCCTTAAAGATCAGAGGGAAAATGTAAAACACAGGCAATCACAAAGAACCATACACAAAAACATATTTTGTATTTCAGTGCAGTATTGGAAATTTACAGTTTCAATT